TATGTCTGCCACCCAGTGATCTGAGTGACCCTGATAACCTCAAGGTTGCCGGTTGGGGCCGTACTTCTGAAGGCGGACGAACCAGTTCCACATTGAATGAGATCTCTTTACCTCAATATTCATTTGCCAAATGCGAAGACAAATACAGTGGTCTCCTCACAATCAACCAATTATGCGCCGGTGGTGTTAGTGGTCACGACACCTGTCAGGTGAGCAGGTTAAGGGCACGTGTCACGAATTGAATTGACATTTGTTTTGATTTGTGTCCAGGGAGATTCGGGAGGACCCCTCACCTCTGTTGTCAATGGTAGGGTTGATATCGTGGGTATTGTCTCGTGGGGTATTGGTATGTATTTTAAATTAACAAGTTCATCATTTATTTTTTAAACCAAAATATGCCACTTTTAAAAGGCTGTGCTCGCGACGACTATCCGGGAGTCTATACAAGAATTACATCATATCTGAAATGGATTGAAGACAATACCAAAGATGCGACCTATTGTTTGGCAGTGAACTCGACCACAAGCCCAGCACTGGACCCACCCATACAACCCAACTATAATAGCTGTGGTGTCCCTAATCTTAAACTATCGAAACGAGTTGTCGGCGGAACTGAGACACAGCCACAAGAGTTTCCATGGATTGTATGACCGCATCATTAGATGACAGCATTTAGTTTGTGTAATAATTGTGACTTATTTACGACATTTCAGGTGGTAATCGCATATAACGGACAACTCATAGGAACCGGATCTTTAATCGCTGGAAACGTTGTCCTCACTTCTGCCCTAAGACTCAAAGAAATCGTTGACTCGACCTCTGGTGTGCCGGACATCAAAGTAATAGTGGGCGCACACGATGTCACCAAAACCGAGACCAATAAACGTGTCTATACTGTAAATCAAGTGATATTTCACCCCAAGTTTCAGTACAACACCCCTCAGGACAACGACTTTGCCTTATTAGAGCTGAAACCGGCAGCCGATGGCTCTCTACCTAAGAACCGACCCATTTGTTTGCCCCGAACTGACACCCCGTACAGTGTGG